GCTAAATTTACTGGTAACCATAACTTTAGTGGAAAACAATAATAGCAATAAAAAACCCCCAACAAAACCCCAAAACAAGCAAACAAAAGACAACCCAACAAAAAGAAGTAAAAAAGAAAGAAAAGATCCAACAAGCACACAGAACCATGTGACTGACTCACGTAAACAAATAAAGTGGCCAGGAATCATGGCAGAATCAGTGTGGTGAACCCATGCATTAAACCAATGTGTCTCATCCATATGATGAACTTACATCATAAACCAAAATGGCTGCCATTCATGGTAGAAAGGTCAACTGGGTTGAAATGAGGCCTGAGAGAGCATCCATTGAATGATATCCATAAAAGGCCATCTATGGGAGAAGCGCAGGTGAGACTTTGAACATGAAAGGGATAGACTGGGGTACTGGGCTAATTTTAAAAGGAAACCAAGTTACCAATAGCTAATTTGATCCAAAGAGTAAGAAAGCTGAGGAAAATATCTCGGAGAACAGAATCATGAAGACAGAAATCATACTCAGTTATAGGTCACACACATAGAACCTACACAGTTTGCTCTGCCATTGGGTTAAAAGCAGGCTCTCTGCTTGCTCCTTAATGACTCTTACCCTCAATGAATACCTATAAATGGGGAAGAGAAAGAAGAAAAGGGGAGATAAGCTTCAGGAGGCAGACTTCTTGCTTTTTACTTGATGGGAAAAGAAACAGAGGCCATCTACTCCCTTCGCCTTCCTACATGGTGAGAAATGTAGCGCTCTTCCTAGCACTATGAAGAAGCTTTCACAGTTTATAGGGTGGGAGAGAGAGGGAAGGTACAGAAAAAGAAACAATGGCAAAAACAAAGCAGTGACAACAAAAAAAACAAAAATCCAGCCAAAGATTTTAGAAACAAACAATAACAACAACAAAATGTGCTCCAGAGTGCCTTTTTTCTCATGGCTAGCTATGCCAAATATGTGTGCATGGTAAGGTCTTGGGGTGCTGGAGTCACCTCCAGATGTGGTTTTTAATTTGTTGTGTCCTAAACAAAAATTAGTCAAGACAAGTGCAAACTGTAGGAAGGTTTTGCATTTATTGAAGGTTAGAAAAGAAGCATGCTCTATAGAGTGAGCTTGGGCCAAGAAAAAATTAGGGAAAGTAATATATGTTGTAGTGATGGCAAGCGTTTTAGAGCTTGCAGTGATACAAACAGCCTGCTGTGCGGCACAGGCCATAGGTTTGCCACCACTGCTCTGTAGGGCTGAGAGCAGGCTGCTGTGAAAGAATACAGTGGCAGAGAGTTGGAAGGCGACTGTTGTCTATGTATTTTCCACCCTTCAGGCTGGCATTAGGTCTAGACCATTTCAATTAAAGATTGCTCAAGTTCTCATGAGAATTGCACATTACAGGGCTTTGAAACTGATCTGTATCCTGGGATTTTTTTTTTAATTTAAAAATATTTTGTTTATTTTGTACAGGGTTTTGCTACACAGCTCTGACTTATAATGATCCTCCTATCTCAGCCTCCCCAGTGCTGGGATTATAGGCATGCATCACCATGCTTGGTTTCCGTGGCCAGCATGGCATACTGTATTGGGGATTGAATCTGGATGCTTGTGCTTGCCAGGCAGGTGCTTATGCCTCCAGGCTATCTTCCCAGTCCCTGCATCCTGGGATTTTTTTTTTTTTTTTTTTTTTTTTTGGGTGGAACCAGGGATTGAACTCAGGCCCTTGCGCTTGCCAGGGAAGCGCTTATTCCACTGAGCCATCTCCCTGGCCCCTGTCCTGGGATTTTTGTAATTGACAGGTCATGATTACTTCTTTGACCAGTCTGCCACACCTGGTTCTCCTGTTTCAGAGTGATTTGGCCATGCTTATTAAAGTAACCCACATTACTGAAAATTGTAATAAATTGTAGGAATATAAATTCAAAATTACTTCTATTTCTTCTCACTAGGAAGAACTAGATTAAACCTAAATCAAGAAAGGTATAGTCTAAGTCATTTTGCATAGTTTAACTGAAATGTCTATTTTATTATTGCTTTTGTTTTTCTGTATTTTGTACAGGGTCTGCAGGGTCTCACTACATAGATCAGACCCAGAGTGATTGTCCTGTTTGCAGCCTCCCAAGCACTGGGATTACAGGTGTGTGCCACCAAGCCCAGTCTCAATCACTGTCTCAGTGTGTGCCTGGGGCAGGGCTGTATTATTGCTTTCTTTTAATGATGAAAATGTCTCCTGACTCCAAAGTAGTTGAAGATTTTACTAAATAAAGGACTTCTTTATGTCATATAAGATTAAGAAAGGCAGTTAGTTCATCGGTAACTGATGTATTTCATCAGGAATTTAGGTACTGCCTTCTTTTCCACAATCCTTAGCACTGAAAGTTTTTCAGTGACTGTTCCACCTGTAAAAACTGTGTTTATTTCAAACAGAAAGAGAAAAAGAAGGGAAATCTCAGAAATTTCTAATGGCTGCTTATTTCTTTTCTTAGAAAGGGGTACTTGCTCACAGAGCACTTTTGCCTGTATTGTACCTTAAAATATGTTGAAAACCTACCTGTGTAATACAAATTCTTTAATATGTTAGCATTCTAGACTTTATTTGGTGGAAGATAAGGTTGAGAATTGGAATGAGTGTTGAATGTCTCATCCCACAGTTATCTGCTGTCTCTATTGTTCTTCCTCAGTTCTTTTATGTAATTAGCTGTTTGCATCTTTGGGTTCTCTAGAAATGTGGTTCATGAGTAATTTGCTGTTGGTTACCTTTGGATCATCCAGTGTTCATATGTTGGTGTTGTAATGTTATGCATCTGTGTCTGAGGACAACTGCAATTAGATCTTTTTGGTTAGATGTTGAACCTCAATTAACACTTTTTATTTTTTTTTAATTTTTATTTATTTATTTATTTATTTATTTATTTATTTTTTTGTGGAACCAGGGATTGAACTCAGGTCCTTGCGCTTGCCAGGGAAGCGCTTATTCCACTAAGCCATCTCCCCAGCCCCAATTAGCACTTTTTAAATGAATGACTGAAAGATAAAAAATATATTTTTATTGTCATTATTGTCAGTCATTTAAATGTGTAAGGGTACAGTAATACTTATAATTTGTGAAAAGTTTTGGACTAAGAAATTTTTGTTGTTAATAAGCAGAAAGAAGTGTAATAATGTTAAAGTTATTTTGAATGAATGATAGTAATTACAAGGTTATATAATATCTTCATAATGGCTTAATACTATTGTTTTGGGGAGCAAGTTATTGCATGGGAAATTAAACAAAGATATTTTATGGTGTTTATATGAATATTTTAGTTTCGATGAACTAGGCAGTGTGAATTTATTAATAGGTAAACAGGTTGTTTGATATTTTTATATAATTAATGTTGACTTACAAGGAGTTATAAGATACTTGGAAGTCTCAAATGGCTAAGGACATGCTAAATCAGTCTTTATCTTAGGTGATATTTTGAGTTTAATTCAGAGTTGATAACTTTGTTTTTCTATATATGTGTAAATGGGAATGTGAACATAATTTCATATACAAAAGAAAAGTTAAGAGGTGATCTGCCTGCTTTGTCCCAAACTGTTTTAGAAGCAAATAGTGTACTTCTTCATTCAAAATTTGTGTATGAAATTAGTCAGTACAACTTGGTAGTGTGAATCAGTGTTTACAACTCAATATCTAACTGAAACTACTTTTGCTGTACTTTATTTAAAAAAAATTGACAGCAAATGGTAAACTGAACGACTATCTATGGTCTCCTGTATAACAACCGGTATATAACACCATTTAAATAAATTCCTCCTTTTTCATTCATGTTGGCAGGATTGTTGCTACCTTAATTATTGAAACAACCTGTGCATGGATAGAACTTATCTCAAAGCAGGGAATGTATTCATGTGTCTGGAACTCAAATTTTCTATGTGAACAGTTTATAGTTACTGAGAATAAAGGAAGCATTTTTAACATTCAAAAGCAGCACTGGGAGAAAAGTTCTTATATAACCATAATTAAGGCAGGATAGTTTCCTAGATTTGAACTTGGAATTAGGTGTATTGGTAGTTGTGTTTGGCCTTTAAACTAATATAATTTGGGCACGCTTAAGGAAGCAGTGATTTATAGGCTAAATTTTGCACTTAAGAATATTGCATGTCAATCTTTTGCCCTCTTTCAGTATTTTTAATTTTCTGTTCTCAGTGATTAGTATAGTAGTATCTAGGTTATAGTAGGCACTTAATAAATATCTGCTAAATAATTTTAGTATTTTTTGCTAGTGCTTTCTAGATGGCTTTATGCTTTGCATTTCTCTGTACAGCTTTTATTTTATGCTCATATTTTATAGATGCTTTTGAGTATGCTGCACTCATTTTCTTATTCAATGATATCTGAAATTATTTTGGATTTATATGAATAGGTAAATAGCATTGTAATGACTGAAAAATTCACTTTATGACAGTGTTGCAATTTTCAGTCTAGGACTATCTCATTTTTTCCTCAAAAAGTAAAGAAATATTATGAACTAATAATGAGAATTCAGAATAGATTAATTGAATGATTATATAAATTTTCTGGATTGTGAGTGTATGTGCAGCTATAGTGTAAGGCAGATTGTGGTAACTTCTCTAATTGAAACAGATACAAAGATTAGGGTGAACAGAGGAAGAAATAAATGACAAAGATGAGTCAGTGACTAGGTTTTCATGGATAAGGGGGAATTTGCATTGAATCTTGGGGAAGATGTAGAAATTTGACAGGTGGTAAAGGTGAAAGGCTTCAGAAATACACAGTTGGAGCAGTGCTTGCGGGTAGGAATGTGTATTTAATGTTTAAAACAATTGATGAGGAGTCTACTGAATTTGGAATAATTATTTGTTTGGTGGATTGACAGAAATTGAAGCTTGGAGGTGGAAACCAGACAGAGAAGGTATTACCACTACTACTTCTTCTTCTTCTTCTTCCTCCCCCCCCCTCCTTCTTTCTTTCTTTTTTTTTTTTTTTGGTGGATCCAGGGATTAAACTCAAACCCTGGTGCTTGCCAGGTGAGCACTTATTCTACTGAGCCATCTCCTTGGCCCCAGTATTACTTTTTGTTACCTAATTTTTCTTTATTCCATGAAGAAACTGTAGGTTTTTAAGCAGAGAACTACTATTAAGATATCTCTGCGTTTTGGAGGATGAATGGAAGGAGAGTAAATATAGCTGCGGGAAGGAAGATCATTTAGAAGGTTGATGTGCAGTTTAGGTTGAAGATGAGTAGGGAGCCTGGGCGCAGAAAGCCTGATGCCAGAAGCACATGTGGGTCTGCTGGACAGTTGGAGGCTTGATGGATAGAAGTGTGCAACAGTGTGTTGGCTCCCCAAGCAGTGCTTTCCTGTTTGAAGCCTTCCTTCCTCCTACTTCATCTTGGTAAAGTGTGGAATGTGGTTTGTGTCTCTGCAGCTGAGCAATCAATATTTTAGCCTTAATTCTAGACAAAAGCAAAAGGAACAAAATGGTTCATGGACAAGAGTATCTGTCATATCTCCTCAATGCTGTATTTTTAGAACTCTTGGTTCATCCTCTTGAAGTAGCATTTCTTCTTGGTCCTTCCTGAAATACAGTTTAAACATCTTACAGCATTTATCTGTGTTTATCTTGACTATAGCCAAGTTAGAGACCAGAGTCTGTGTTTATACATTTGCATCATATTAACATCACAAAACACTTCGGGTAAATTTTTAGAATGCAATGCTTTAATAAATGATGCTGAACAGTGTAAATTTCTGTTTGCTCTGTGGTTGTACTGACCTTCCTATTCTCTGCCCATGCTAGGCTTTAGATTCAGATCTGCATAGACCCCTTCCTCTCTTCTGGTTTTGTTTAGATGTCATCTCCTTATCAGCAAGGTGACTACCTATATAAAATACCCTCTTCCCACCCTCAGTAACCTCTATCTTTTGTTACTTTTCTTTACAGATATTTCTATGTCATGTATATTTATTTGATGATTCTTTTATACTCTAGTGAAAAAATGGTGCATGATAAGAGGACCATTTGCATTGTTGACTAATTTATTCTCAAATACCTAGAGTAATGATTGTCTAAGACAAAGTAGGCAAAGTAAGGGTTTGCTGAGGGAATGCTAGTTAAAGCTCAGGGTGAAGAGGAAGAACATATTCTTGTGCATGTTTGTTTATAAGTTTATGCAAGGCATGGTATTGTAAGTTTTGTATCGCAAATCATTAACATTGCTGGCAGAAAATTTTAAAAAAACCCTGTTTTCTATAGATTGTACCCATTTGAATGCTAAGCATATCCAGTCAGAAAACACTTTTATTATCCATGCCCGCTTAATTTTTAAGGCAGTGAAATGGAAGACTGTCATTTTAGTAAGCAACTTATTTTCATTTGTGTGAATGGAATACTTTGAATATTCTAATTGATTTTTGTGGGTGGTTTTATAAGAAAATAATGCCTGTTTCCATACATTGTACATTTGCTTTTAGGAACGAAGGAAACTAGAAACAATCACAGATTTTAAAAATGATTTTATATGTACATTTCAAGTTTGCAAAGATTCTAGACTCATAAATTCAAGCCTATTTTTATTGTACTTTATGATGAATTTGCTTAGATATTGTTCTAGAAATCTTGTCTGAAATTTGGCAGTAAAAGAAGTTGGTTAGCAAATCAATAATACTGTATGACTTTTAGTGTCATAAGAATTCCCTTTTGGAGACACATAAAAACTCATTTTTTTCTTGCTATAAACTTTATCTATCAGTTTTCTAGAAGGTCAGAGTACTAATGTTGGAGGTGATCTGCTCTGAGACATAGCACCACCAAAATGGTAATAAAGTTAAAAATTGCCACATGATGCTTTTCTAAGACTATGATTTCTTTTTGCAATCAATTTCATGCTTATTTTCAAATATGGAAGTTATATATTTATAGTTATATTCTTAGTATGCCCTACATAGGTGAAATATATTTGCCTTTATTTTTGCATTTACATTTTTCATATTTTTGTTACTATTTAATTTTTCCTAGGGTTTATTTCTTAATTATTTGCATACTTTTACTGAGAAGTTTTTTTTTTTCTAGATTTGTAAGTTATACTTTTCAGAATAAATGGTTTTAAAAATAAAATATATTGAAATGGTTGCAATGAATAATTCCAGAAACTGAGTTATTCCCTATGACTTGAAAATCAAATGTGTTGTTTAGATCGTGAATATACTAGAGTTTACAAGTTCCATTTAAAAATATTTCTCTGCTGAACCTGAGATGCCATTGTTAATGTTTATTATATATTTCCCCATATATTACATGTGTAAATACAGGAAAATGTGAGTGATTATGACAGGAGATAGTCTTTTTAAGTTGCCAAGTTCTCTCTTAGTTGAATACCCAACCAGTTCCTTTCATTTGTTATGTAAGTACCGCGTACTAACCGATTGCGCCACTGGAGCTTCTCATTTGTTAACATAGGTAACACATATGGATGATTATGCAATAACGTTTTTCTGCTTTCTTAATATATGACACTTTGGAAATTAAGCGTATAACTAGGAGTTCTTTTTATTTTATTCACCTTAATTAAATATTTTCCTTATTTTAAGACCCATAACTGATTATTTAATGCATAAATTATTTTTAACATTTTACTTGATCTTTAAAAATTTGAGGTTACTCTGTTGTCTATTTTGCTTCGTGTTTCTATTTATAGCTTTGAGAACCCAAACAGTATTTAATTTTCTAACATATTTTCTCAAAGTATACCTGTAGATTTCTTATATATAAGTACAGATCTTGATCTATTTACAATTATTTAATAATTTAACTACATTTTAAAATAAGTTGAAAATTTTATTTCATGCATTAAAAAAGCACCGTTTGTAAAACTAAAATTATAATTCTGGTTGTTATAGCCCAATTGGTTTTAATACTTGCTGGTTAGTTTTTTAATAAGTTTTGTTATAACAGTACTGGTTAGGATAATTTGACGGTCAATTGCAAGCTCCTGGAGAGGAGGCAGCCTTCAGTAATTGGGAAGTGGTTGTTTGTTTGTTATTTTTTTTCCCAAACAATTTGGCCTTGTTCCCTAAACTTAACAAAAATTTATAGTTTCTTTTAATTGAAATTTATCTTCATTGAAGAGAGCTTGAAAAATGAAATGAAACAACCAGAAGAAAACAAAATAATGTTTCCTGTGTGCAGTCACTCTTGCTGCCTTTCATTGTTGTATATTTATTATATAATTTTCACATAATCATTTTATGCCATCATGAGGAAATGTAACCATTTTATGCCAATACAATACACTATACTTCATTATGATTTTTTTTCAAAGTTTTATTGATAAACAGATAGCAATGAGAGAGTTTCAAATCAAATTGGAAGTACAGTTTCAACAAATAATACACTGCATATATTCTTCTTAGTGGTTAATTGCTGTACAAGATGTGGACTTGTGATCCTATTTACAAACACCATTAGAACAAATCATTCTATTCATTAAGAGAATGCAACTACATATCTATCCCAACCACTTTGAATACACAGATACAAAATGGACATTCATAGGTATACCCATTTTTTCTAAGTTCCGTTATTGAATATTATAGGTGTGTAAACTCAGCAAAATATTCTAAGAGTCCAGTAGCCCATAATAGCATTGGGTCTTCTGTTTAACTGGCAATGTCAGAAATTATTGACCTGAGTCCCCCACAGCTCAACTTAACAGCATGGCTTTATTTCCTATATTTCGTCTTCATACTTTTCTACTGGATAGTTAAGACCAAGGTAAAGCAGGACCTGTGCAACAAGAGTTGTAGCTTTTTGGTCTGAGAAGGTGAAATGCCCTCAGGATTTATCCTGAGATCCTGTACCTCAGATTGTAGAACATTTCTCAATGTCAGCCATGTGGATGAGTCACGGCCATTGCTTGGCCAATGTGCTCTCTGTGAAAGCCTGAGAGAGTGTCTTCTCCCCATGTGACTCTCCTTAGGCACACTCTACATCATCGATCACTTTCCTCTTTGGCCCCATAATCTTCTTGATCAGAAAATTTGGGACACTACCGAGGTACATGACATTACAATACAAGTTCTCATATGTCCTGAGTCTTAATTGACCTTAGAAGGCTAGGGCCAAAATGTTGGCTTTCCTTTTAGCCCTCCTTTTTCTCTAATTTGGTCTGCAAACTTAGGTTGTTAACCATCCAGAAGACAAGCTTATTGTTATTATCAAATGATTTAGGCTATCAAGCTTAACCTCACTATCTCACTGCATTTCAAACATCTTGGGCATAATAAGGAACAGGTATTTTTCATCAAGTATTGATATGTTGAACTTTAAGTCCCTACATAATATGATAAAGAACATTTGAAAATTAGATTATATTTTAACAATAGGATAAAGAATTCTATGCTTCTCATGTTTGCACATAAGTCCAACAATCTCATCATATACAACCTTGAAGCAGGACAGTCCCACAATATTCCTTTTCCTGTCTCTTGCTTTCATTCACCACCCCCTTCTTCTTGAACATCCACCTACCCGAGAGACATCTTAGCAGTAACTGGCATGTCATGACAAGCCACCCATATTCAGAATACCACAATGACAGGCACTCCCAACATGAAACCACTATTACAAATTACCATCTGCAGTGCAGTAGCTTAGTTCACAGGTATCAGTATATATAGTTAGTCAGGGTGAGAATCTTTCCAATTAACTCCTAGATTAAAGAATCTTCTGAATATTCTCAGGATCATTGCCTTGCTCATCTTTTACATATAACTGCATGGCTTAACATTGTCATGTTTCCTAGCTCATCAAATTTCCCTCTCTTGATTAGTTAGTCCTTGAGATCCTGCTTTCCCTTTCCTTGTATTATATCTTTCTATTTGTATTTCTTCTTTGGAGTTCTTATACTAGGGAGACTATACGATATTTACACATGTGTGTCTGGTTTATTTCACTTATGAGTATATGTTTGTTCAAGTGGCATCCACTTCAATATAAAGACTTGCAGCTTATCATTCTTAATAGCTGA